TATATAACTTATCATAATCCCGTCACTTTCACTTTAGAGAGTAAAATTTAGGAAATAAAACTTAACGAGAATTATTGAAAATTAAAATTGAGAAGGAAATAAGTGATATAAAAATTAAAATATCATTATATAATAATAATAATAACAATCAAGGATAGTAATGTCATTTCATATGTTTTTTCTTTCTCAAATTCATTGAATTGCAATTCAACAACATCAAAATTTTTTTTTTGACAATTCCTCCAACCAAACAATGTAATTGAGGAATACACTGAATTGCAATTCAATTACAGCTAAATTATAGTGAACCAAACAACCTGTAAAAGTACATGCAGTAGAACTCTTCCTAAAAAAGATTGATTAAAGAGGTCAAGTGATTCATGTCGTGTTGGCTCAGTCTAATCGTCAACTAACACAGTATTATTATGGGCGTGTGGTGTCGATTTAGCCCACATCACAAATATACAATCGTTATGCTATGGACCTGTGTCCAGCATGCATGCTGGACACCGTAACGGTGCCGTTAGTGGCACCGTTCTCTGCCACTTTTTAAAAAATAAAAAATAAAAAACAAAAATTCAGACCACTTTGTTATAGGAGTATATGTTCATAATTTTATCACTATATGTTCATAATTGTAAGTTCATAATGTCAGAGCTCTGTATTCATAATTGCATAACTGTACATTCATAATTGCATAACTGTACATTCATAATTCCGTAACTGTACATTCATAATTCAATAACTGTAAATTCATAATTTTCGAAACTCTATGTTCACAATTTTAGAGCTCTATGTTCATAATTTTATCACTATATGTTCATAATTGTAAGTTCATAATGTCAGAGCTCTGTGTTCATAATTTCATAATTTCATAACTGTACATTCATAATTGCATAACTGTACATTCATAATTCCATAACTGTACATTCATAATGCCACAAACGAATAACGCCTTTAACGCCGTTAACGGCGAGACAAAATAAAAATAAAAAAAATTAAACTGGAAGGCTGCGTTTTTCTTTAAAACGACGTCATTTTGGACTCGGCATAATTTGCCACAAATATAAATTATTGGCTTTATTCATATTTTCATATAGTCGGTCTGGCTCATTCTACTTAATTTATTAATAATTTTAAAACTCCTTTTAGTACGAAAAATCAATTTGATCAGCACTATGTCTTTTAATTAAGTCGGTTCGGTGTGAACGTGGATTAGTCTGAGTATGGTTTAGGCTTAAAGGTGACTTTTACAGTTATGACCTACTCAAGATACATTGTGGTGTAACAAAAAAAAAAAAAAAAAAAAAACTTATATATTTTTAAACTCGCAATTAAAATTATTAAAATGTAAATTTATTAATTATTTGTATTATTTTAAAACCATATGTTGGTTTTTGGGTTTTTGCGGCCAGGGAGGTCCAACACAATCGTAGTTGGTGGATTCACCTTTCATAATAAGGCTACTAAAATAGGAGAAATATGACTCAATGATTTTTACGTGGAAACCGAAATGTGAAAACCACGGGCCTTTTTGGGCGGTGTCAAGCCTAAATTCACTATGTATTTTGTAGGTGTCTTTGTACATATTGTAGAGCTATTTTGTGTATGTGATGTTGTGTAGAGATAGAGCTACTATACTTTGTACATTGAGAGGGAGTCTTCTTCATACGTGGAAGAGTGGTGGAGTCTTCTCATATGGAGTCTTCTTCATGTGGTCTTCTTGCTTAGATGAGTGGAGAGTGGTTGTGGAAGAGTACTTTCTCTTTGTGGGACTGAGAATAGTAAGTGGGAAAATAGTGTTTGGGAGAGTCCTCCCATGTATAGATGAATGAGTGATCCCCTTCAATTCCCTTGTGCTCTTCTTCTCCTTATAGCTAGCTCATCCAAAAATGTCCGTTGGGTAATTTAGTAGAGTATTGATGGGTAGTAAATGTGGTAACAAATGGTAGGCTATGATGAGGTAAGTAAATATGTGTTTTAATAGGACTTTAAGGGTAGATAATTAGGGGGGTTAGGAATTGAGGGGTAATAATTAGGAGTTTAATATGGGCTAACGGCTAGTTTAGGCCGACCTTCTACCCGTGCTGATCCCACACTCACGCCGACCTACGAGTCGAGCCGACTCCTCGGTTTGGCTCGTATCTCTTTCGGGTTTTTCCTCTTCTGGACCTGGCCTTTTCTCGTCTTGGACCTCTCTTCCTCTGGGCTTGATCCCTTTTTTTCTTGGGCCCCGAGCCCACGGAGTTCACATCCCATCACCATATATTATTTGCAGATTTATAAAATGAAAAGTTATAGGCTTACAGTTTCAAAAATTAAATTGCAACTTTAGAAAGTAAATTTAATACAACTTAGAGCATCCTCAATAGTGGAGGTTTTTGTGTGATATTTGATGAGTTTTTGTAGGTGTAATTAGGAAAGAAAAAATGAGATAAAAAAGATTTTTAAAAAAATAAAAAAAAAACAAAAAACAAAATCTCAACAAAAGAAAAAAGAAAAAATAAAATAAAAAGAACTTGAAACGCACCCGCGAATGTGTAGCCCACGGCCCCGCGCCAACTTTTCTACTTACTTCTTTTCTTTGTGGGCCCCATACAAGGGGACAAAGAATCCCAACCTCCTGTAACACACTCTCCCCTCTCTTCTCCACCTCACACTTTTTTCCTCAAAACATGTACACATCCCCTTAATAGGGATGCCCTTACAAGTTATAACAAATAAATTACTATAAAAAATTATTGACATTTCTTCAAAAAATAATAAAAAATTATTGACATAAATGCAAGACTCTAAGAAGTCCTATAATCAATTGCTCTTGTATGCAGAAAATATTTAAATTATTACAAGTTATAACTTTAAACTATCTGTGTGTGGGGTCTGGCCCTATTACATTGCACAAATTCGAACGCAAAATGCATAACATTAACTCATTCTTAAAACAGTTGAATAAAACATAAGTATATTGCATTGGATGACAGCACTGTTACGGTCGTATCGATTAGATACAATGATGTCTGCTCCTCCCAGTAATAACTAACATTCTTTATGCTGCTTACACATACTCAGTAACTCACATGCACGTACTCGCCTTTTTGCTTGTTTGTGTTGTGGAAATTAAAATGGCCCAAATTCCAACAGGCTTAATTGGTCCAATGGATACTCAATAAAGAGTGGTCCACTAAATATAGTAGGGTAGTAGATTCAATAAGGAATTCATTTCTTATGTAAGTGCCAACAAGATGAAAGCATAAATTACGCCAATTAATAAGATTTTATATTATAAAAATTATACTTTTTTTTTTTTGAATGTTATTGATCATATAGTATCTGTTCATAACTATTTTCTCAACTTACTGAAGCACAAAAAGTCAATAATACATCCACTAAGACTTGAACTTACAATATCTCATATGGAAGTCCAACCCGAGTGCCATCTAAGCACAAAGTACTTGGCAACAAATATTATACTTAGGATTGTATCTAGTGGAAGTGTGGGTACGTGCTTTCATCTAAAATTACTATTACATTAGTTAATCTAATATTTTTGCCACAGGTCATAGTTATACATTTTTGAAATATTTACTTTTATGAAAAATTTAATAATCTTGCATTGACATACGCCAGAATACCGAATGATACTTTGATAAATTCTAAAACACTAATTTAAAAATACTCATTGGGTTTCAGAATATTCGTGCAATGCGTATGTGGTAACTAGTTATTATATAAGTGTAAATAGATTCATTTTTTAGTTGGAATATGAAAATGAAATTTTGAATTGATTAAATGATGCATAAGTTTATGAAACGTTATGTTGTGAGCACGTGCCCACTTTGCAAGGTGGACACGGTTCAATATTCATAATTTTTATACTGTAGATTCATAATTTTTATATTGTAATCTATCATTTTTATACTTTAGATTTATAATTTCTAAACCGTAGATTTATAATTTAAATACAGTAGATTCATAATTTCTATACTGCAGATTCATAATATCTGTACTGTAGATTCATAATTTCTGTACTGTAAATTCATAATTTCTAAACTGTATAGTTATCAATTATGAACATATAGTTCTCTGATTTGTGAAAACAGAGTCCAACAATTGGAATCTAAAGTATAAATTTTATGAATCTACGGTATAGAATTATGGATCTACAGTATAGAAATTATGAATCTACAGTATAGAAATTACAGATATAGAACCGTGCCCACAACATAATTTGTCTAAGTTTATATTTATTAGTGTAAAATGCATAAGTTTATTAAAATTAAAAATTTAAAATATCAAGATTTTATTTGAACACATGCATCCCGTAAGCCGGATAGCTTGATAGTTTAGGGTTAGGACAAAAAAAAATATTAACTCGATAAAAAATAATTAAACTCGAAACTAATAAGTCCAACAACCTGATAAAATTGTTCAAAAATCCACAGAATCGGACCAATTGACATTCATAATTTCACCCATGAAAAGAGTAGATCACACATAGATGGTGGGTATATAATCAAGCTTGCTGATTAGTACCCTTGTGGTGTGAGACCACACGGCCCTCCCCATCAGCTATATTGTATACTTCCATTCAAAGAGCATCCATCCAGTTTTGTTCATGCTGTTACCTCACTTGAAACATTTTATATATATAGATCGAATATCAATTTTACTCCACCTATCATCATGTTCAAAAGCTTCAATTTTTATTATTATTATTATTATTATTATTATTATTATTATTATTATTATTATTATTATTATTATTATTATTTATGCACGTGCCATACACAATTTGCTTGACGTTTTGATCTCATCAGGTTTTGACATATGATGGGAATAAGTTCTTCATTATATTGATGTATGTAGCCAAACAAATATGCGAAAATGAAGTGAGAATAAATGGCCAAACTTACAAAATCTAAACAAAAATAAACAGAATTACTCTGGGTAATCCAAGTATGTAATTCTGCCTATCTTTGTTTTAGTAGACTTGATGATGATAAGTTGTTTACTCTCTGATCTCTCGTTCATCTCATTTCATTTTTGCCTATTTCACTCAATATTCCGAGACAACATATTTAAGATTAAATTACATTGGAGAGATTAAGATTAATTGGTGGGGCAGTCTTGGGGAAAGATCTGGGATTTGATGATTTCTTCATCAGAGGGCTTGTCTTGCAACCTGACGGCATTGTAGAACCAGACACCCGCAGTGGCCCCCGCAGTGGGGCCCAACATATATACCCATATGCTCTTGTAACGGTTTGATATAATTGCTGGCCCCAAAGTCCTTGCTGGATTCATTGATGCCCCTGATATTGGTCTGTACGTTCAACAAAAGTGAGCTCATCATGAGTTGCTGCAAATATTAACAATATGTACTATTATGTTCTCCGTACAGAACCATATATGAGTTCTGTACGTATGAGGTTGAAAACGAGACAATTTTAATCAAGTTGGTCAGATTTATGACTTGATAATAGTAAATTATGGTTTCAAATTTAGCTTTAAGGATAAGCAATGAACTTATAAACAACGACATAGCTAGCCTGATTTATCTAATGTTTAATTAGCTGACTAGGCTCATAAGTGAAGTTTACCTTAGGCATAGTTGGTGGATGGTTACAGTTTTTTCTTGTGACCCAAAAAATTGTTGAAAAGCATTGTGTTGATGAACATGCAATGTCGAATTTCTTGGTAAGTTGGTCAAGTTGTTGGCTTGATAACCATAAAGTTTTAAGTTTAACTTCCAGTTGAAGAAGCCTATTAGCTTTATTGATTTGAGCCCGTCAGCAAAAGCCTAGACTGGTACCTGGTATTTTACTATCTAAGGTTATTATAAGTTGTGATTACACCCCTCGAGTAGTGACTAATGACTATGGGTTTTTTTATTGTCACTAAAAAAGGTTGAAAAGCATTGTGTTGATGGTGTAGAATCTAGTCAAGTGTACTTATGAGTTTTGTGTAGTTATATATACGTACCCAGCGATTATTGAGTTTATTGCGATCACAGCTCCGACGGAAAGTCCGGTGAATTCTGAAACCTGAATTGAACCAACCATCACAAGATTAAGAAAATGATGATCACACATTAAAAGGATCTTGATTTACGTACTGTAAATTTGATCATGCATGGTACTTACGCCGCGTTTGTCTGTGGCAACGCCGGAGACGGCAAACATGAGATAGAATGTGATTAAAAACTCGAGTATCAACGACTGCATATCCGACCCCGCCGGAACCGTTCCCAGGAAATGATCTTCCTCCGCTGAGAACATCAATCTGACGGTCCCAGTTGCTAGAGTTGCAGCCAGCACTTGCGCAATTATATATGCAGGCACCTGCACACATAATCGAGTATATGATATAAGGTAATTAATTGGTACGACCGAACAGAATCTTAGAATTTTGCAGGTTCTAAAGGGGCATATATATATATATATATATATATATATATATATATATATATATATATATATATATGCATACATGTCTCCATGGGAACCTTTTGCAGGAGGCAAAGGCAAGAGTTACGGCGGGGTTAAAATGGGCGCCGGAAAGGTGGCCGACGGTGTAGAGCATGATCATCACGTCCATTCCCCACAGCATTGCCGTCACCGGAAGCGACAGATCTTTGTTGGTCAGCAACGCAGCAAACCCGGCAAACAGCAGCAAGTAAGTCCCCATAAACTCCGCTATCAACTGCATGCATAATATTATTATTATTATTACTCGATCCAAGAATATATATATATATATATATATATATATATATATATATATATATATATATCATTACTGGAAATTATGAAATTTCCGACCACCTGAAAGTGATCTTAAATCAAGTCGAAAGTCTTGTTCCGACCACTTTTGGTATCTAAAAAAATCTTTGTTACTATTTCCGACCACTTTTTAGACTTGATTTAGATTACTTTCAGGTGATCGGAAATTTCATAATTTCTAGTAGTGTATATATTAATCTTTCGTCACCTTTTGCATGAAGCGCATGAAGTCCGAGTAGCCGGCGGCGGAGGAGGAAACCGCCGCCGCCTCCGCGTATTTCTTGAACGCCATATCGCTGCAAGTACAAGGAAGAAAGTTTCTGGGACGACACAAAACATCGTCGTCCCTGATATCTAAGGTTGTTGCATTGCGGTTGCCATTAGCTACCGATGATATCTCAGCCGCCATTGATAGATATATATATGGAGGACTGTTATATATATGTATATATGTGTGTTATACAATAAATAACAAGTGAGAGGTTGAGAAAGGAGGAGGCTCCTGGGGGCCATTTTATAATAGGTGGGTGAGTGTAAAGTATGGGTGGGGTGGGGGGATGGATCAAGTTGCGTTCTCCATTTGCGAGCGCGGCTAAATTGTCGTCCAACTGTAATAGTACTGTATTTTATGCATAATTTACTGTACGTTATTCATATGCTTTGCGATTCTTGTTTTTTTTTTTTTTTTTTTTTTTTTTTTACTATGTTCAATGTTCCAACTTCCAAGTGGTTGTAATTAAATACTATTCTTAATTAAAAACGTTTTTAGAGAATGAAAAATATTAATTGTATCCTAGGATTATATATCCTCACTACTTTGACTTAAAGAAAAGCACTCGGGAGGTGCATACACGGTGGGAAAAGCTAGCTAGCCTTGTAATATTAGCTGCAAATAAATCAGCTTCGTAGTTCAAACCTCTAACCTCTCATTTGAAAGTGTCACAAAGGTGCCATTAAATTACAAGTTAATTAGCCATCAAACTATATCTAATTCATAAAAATACCTATTTCACAAAAAAAAAAAAAGTAAAATTCAAAATTAAACATTTAAAATGTCATTGCCCGATAGGTATGCACACATTAATATTTAATCACAATAACTCATCTTAAAAATCATCAAATTTTGAAATAAAAATAAAAATTCAAAAGTCACACGCACAAATTAATATATAATCACAAAAAAGTACCCTATATATATATATATATATATATATATATATATATATATATATATATATATATATATATATATATATATATATATATATATATATATATATAATCACCAAAATTCATTTTTTTTTTACAAATTAAGATATAATAACAAAAATAACCACAAATTCATAAAAATTTGAAATATTTTTTTAAAATAACAAATATCATATTTAGCAAAATAATAATAAAAACACATTTTTTAACAATTAAAAGAAAAAGACTTACCGACAAAATGGTATGCGGTGGCTGAGGTTGGCGGTGGCGGTAGTTGAGCATGGCAATGGAGGTGGCGTTAGCGGTGACTGAGCGTGACAATGGATGTGGCGTTAGCGATGGCTGAGCGTGGCAGTGCCGTTAACGGTGGCTGAGTGTGGCGGTGGTGTTGATATCGCCAGAGACTTTTAATTTATAGATGAGATGAGAGGAGTGTGGATGCTGAGCTTTTTCGCGATATGTTTTCATATCTAGATATGAAGACTTCCCGCAACCCTTTCTAGGAGAAAGGGTCTCGGAAAGTTTATTTATTTTTTGTTTAATTTACTTCCCGTGACACATTCTCCCAGAAAGTGTATACCTTTTTTTTCTTTAATTATTTTATAAGATGAATTTCCTCGACCCTTCATACGAGAAAATGTCGTGAAAACTCGACGGGATATTTTCTTTTAGAAACTGCGGTCCTTTTGTTTAAATAGGGTCACGGTTTCTTATTAATTTATTTACTACTTTTTCACCGCTTTTTTTTTTTTTTTTAACAATACACTACATTTCTTTTAAAAAGGATAGCAAAAAGTCACATCCATTTACTCTTTTTTGTACTAGAGTATAATTACTAAGCCAATACCCTAACCAATTTGGTTAGGATTGCCAACAAAGGATTGTTCTTTAGAGCTTATAATTAATCATCACATATTATATTAAAGAATACGGAGTAAAATGAGAGGAAATATATTATAGTATAACTAAAAAGTTTGTGGGTGTGTATATATATACACGCACACTCAGTATATTTTTATAATTTGTAAACATGATAGCATATGACACAATAGGAGTGCATATACTATGACACGACAATTAACCAAAAAAAGCACTCTTGATAAAAGCAAACTCTTGATAACAATGTGTCAAAAGAGTAAGATAGAAATATGGAATTACTTTTTGCATTTTAGGATGTTGAAACATTTTAAAAAGAAAAAGGAAATCTATTTTCTAAGATAGAGTGTTAATATTATTATAAATGAGTTACGTTAAGTATTATGATTACATGCAAGATAACAAGATAATCTAATAGGAATGAGTTAGAACTTAGAATTGAAGTAACTTTCAACATACAAACAATCTAGCCTGACTTATCTTCTTATGATCCTTTAAAGTTATACGGCGAGCTTCATCCAGAATACACTCCTGCGAATTTTTTTGGAAATCAAAATAATAGCTAACATAGTTAGGATGAGAGAGATGATTTCATTCAGTTACCAAAAGATATAGATTGCAATACAAAAGGAAATAGGAAACGTAAATCTCTCCTAACTAATAGAATAGCTATAGTCAACCAATCTAACACCACACAATTATTAACCATAATATTAACAAATACAATAAGGAAATAATATCATTATTAACACACCCCCTCAAGCACAAGGTTGGTGTGCAACAACGTTGAGTTTGTCCCATAGAGCTGTAACGCTTTCGTGAAGATGTCTGCTAGCTGATCTTTGGTAGACACAAAGTTAACCACGAAGTCACCGGGGCAACCTTGTCCCGGACGAAGTGGTAGTCGATTTCAACATGTTTAGTCCTGGCGTGAAAAACTGGATTGGCGCAAAGATACGTGGCTCCTAGATTGTCGCACCAAAGAGTCGATGGATGGCCGGAGTGTAACCCAAGCTCGCGTAGCAACGAGACAACCCACGTCACCTCTGCCGAGACATCCGCCAGTGCTTTGTACTCAGCTTCAGTCGAAGTGCGTGCAACGGTGCGCTGTTTCCGGGAGAGCCAAGAGATGAGATTGGAACCCAAAAAGATGGCGTACCCGCTAGTACTCTTCCTGTCTATCAGACAACGGGCCCAATCTGAGTTTGAGAAAGCGTGAATGGCTAAGGCGTAAACCATAGTCGAGGGTGCCTTGACGTACCACAACACTCGCTTCAGTAGGCCCCAATGGTCGTTAGTGGGAGAATGCATAAACTGACACAAACGGTTAACAACATAGGAAAGATCTGGCCAAGTGATAGTTAAGTACTGTAGAGCCCCTACTATGCGCCGATACTGTGTTGGATTTTTATACGGTTGTGCCGAAGGAGTAACAGCCTGTGCGACAGCAGCTGGAGTTGCGAGAGGTTTACAATCTACCATTCCGGCCCGGTTGAGTATGTTGCCCATGTAGCAGCACTGTGAGAGCACTATACCACCATCAACTTTGAGCGTATCAATGCCCAGGAAGAACCCCGGTGTGCCAAGGTCTCGAATCTTGAATGTACTGGATATGCGACGAAGGAGGGTATCAATCATAGTGGCATCATTCCCCATCATAATAATGTCATCTACATATACAAGTAAGAGCACCCGTGATGAGCCAGCGGTGTAGTGGAAGAGTGAGACATCCGTCTTGGACGGTGAGAAACCTGTTGAAACCAAAAAATCATGTAGTCTCTTGAACCAAGCCCGAGGGGCTTGCTTGAGACCGTATAGGGAGCGCTGAAGATGACAAACATGACCGGGATGTGTGGGTCTTCATACCCCGACGGCTGTTTCATATACACTGTTTCTGCTAAGTGCACGTTGAGAAAGGCATTGTGAACATCTAGCCGGCGAAGAGTCCAACCATTTGATACGGCAAGAGAAAACAGCATCCGGACCGTAGTCGATTTGACGACAGGGCTAAAAGTGTCAAAGAAATCTTCTCCTGCTACCTGATTGAACCCTTAGCGACGAGTCGTGCTTTATAGCGCTCTACTGAACCGTTTGTGATGCGCTTGGTGTGGTACAACCATTTGCATCCGATGATATTCATATGAGGTTCATTCAGGATGAGTCGCCAAGTGTCGTTATGTAGTAGTGCGTTGAACTCCTTGTCCAGGGCATCACGCCACTGTGGATGACCTACAGCTTGCGAGTAGCAAGTGGGATTAGTAGTTGCACTTAAGGCGTGGAATTGCTCGTCTGTGCCCCGGGTCATGTGACGAAGGCGCATGACATGCCCACGTTCCTGTGGTTGAGCACGAGCGGTACGGGTTCTGTTCGTGGCGGGCACACTAGGGCCTTCAATAGCTAAGGGTGCGGGTTTTTGTGCCAAAGGTGTTGGTTCTGGAGCCAATGGTGTTGGTTAGTGGGTCAACAGTGCAGCCATGTTGGGTTGCGGGAATTGTGGCATGATGCGCCCAGCCGCCCACGGTGCGGGGGTAGTCACCTGCTGCGGCTTATCCTTAAACGTCAAGTCTGAAAAGGAGAAAATGGATTCGTCAAACCGGATATGGCGACAGATATAGATTTTTCCAGTTGTTAGATCCATGCACCTATAGCCCATAAAGGACGGGGGGTAACCTAGGAAGACATGGGATGCCAAGCGATACTCTATCTTGTGCCGATTGTAAGGCCGAAGATCAGGGTAACAACGACACCTAAAGACCCGTAAGAACGTGTATGGGGGTGATGCTTTATATAGACGAGAATATGGGCTTTCAAATTGTAACATAGACGAGGGTAAATAATTTATTAGGCAGGTGGCTGTTTCGAAGGCATAGTCCTAGTATTGTAGAGGTACTGAGCCTTCGGCAAGAAGAGCTAACCCGGTTTCAACAATATGTCTATTACGGTGCTCAATCGTATTGTAGGCACACGATTGCCTGTGGTTAATGCCAAGTGATTTAAATATGTTATGTAGTTTGCGATATTCACCCCCTAAATCTAACTGTATGGACTTGATAGAACACGAAAACTGGCGTTCTACCATCACACGAAACGACTCAAAAATTTTATAAATATCTGATTTTACCCGTAAGGAATAAAACCAACAAAACCGCGAATAATCGTCTATAAATAACAGAAAGTTACGAAAACCAGAAGCATAAATTACAGGGGCGGGGCCCCAAATGTCTGTATACAATAAATCCAAAACATATTGGCTAGAAGAAACGACCCTATCTAATGGAAAATGCGAGGATTTGCCGAGTTGGCAAGCCGTGCACGACCCCAACGACTTGGACTTATTCAGATCAACCGGGCAATTTTACAAGACGCGATTTAGGACATGACCGTGCGGGTGGCCCAATCT